TTTTTTTTTTTTTTTTTTGACTAAGTATGCTTGATCTGCTGCCAATCAGAAACCTTTTCCAGCCTTCATGTAGTCTGGTTCTACTGTCTTAGGACTTTCTGTTTCCCTCTCTTATTCTTTTCCCATGGGATCTTCGGTGTTCTTCTCAAAGCAGTCTCTTTTGACCTGAAACTGGCCATGTTGCTGTTTTTCTGAGTCCTTCCAGTGTTTACTGAGGAACCCCACCAGGAGCAATTTATTCTCTGCATTCTCTTTCTTCTCCTTTGAGGTATACAGAGTCTGCCAAAAATATATATACATACTTCAAAAAAAGAAAAACTTGTATAAATATTTTACTACTGGGACAGGGATTTAGCTCAGTGGTTCCGCTGCCTGGCTCTCAAGCCCAAGATCCCAAGTTCAATCCCTGGTACCCTTCCCACAGTTTTTTTAAATACTAAATTTATTGAGATACCATGAGATTAATACAAGTTACCTTTGGCCTCTAGAATTAAAAGAGGTGCTCAAAGCTCATTAGCTTCCAAACATTTATTAGTACAGCCAACTGCTACTTGGGTACCTTGGTCATTGAAATTGTTGCACATGCATTTTTAATTTCTTCTCTAAGGGCTGGCAGTATAGTGGGTTTTCTGTGATACATGACATCCTCAAGGGTCCCTCATAAAAGGAAGGGTAACATCATACTAGTTTTCTTTTCCTACAATTTTTTTGCATTCTCTGTATTTTCAAATTATTATCTTATGATGTACCACCTTGAAGACTCTCCTTTTTGAATCTTTCAAAAAACGAAAGTCTTCCCAACAATGAATGTAACTGTACTGTATCCCTAAAATGTACCAATAAACTAAAAAAAAAACAAAAAACAAAAAACAAAAAACGAAAGTCTTTGCTCTCTGAGTTGCTGGGGAATTTTTCTTGAAACTTAATATTGTCTGCTTTGGATTTATAGCCCAACAATTTTAAATAAATGTTTTAAAAGGCTAGCTGAAATACTAAAATATTTAAATTACATTTTAAATTACTGATAATTCTTGTGTCAATTCTAGGATTTTTTTGTTTATGAT